GCGTTATTACCTGTCACGCACACCTGCGAGCTGCAAAACTCCCGAAGCGACCTCTTCCATAACCTCAGAGGGACTATTTCAATAATAATCCTCACGTTCGCTGCAGTGCCACATGATAATAATCCTTGCATTTGACACAGCGCCTTATCACGTACTTCGAGACGTCCTCGAAGCACTTCGCACGACATACTGTGAAGTGTAGCGACTGTATATTTCATGATGAGGGGGGGGGCGGTGGGGGTGGAGGGGAACCTATCAAAGCACTTCACTTCCTGCCCGGGAACGACTCCTTTTGTGCCCAAAATGGCTGACTTCTGGGTCATCCGGTCGATTTCGCGTGTCAGTTTTTGTTTTGTGAGCGACCAATTTCATTTGGGGCGTTGGGGTGGTGGTGGGGGGGTGTTGGCCAGGACACCGGGAGAAATTCCCTCCTGTTTTCCAACAGTGCCGAGGGGTCTTTAATGTCCACTCGAAGAGGCAGACGAAATATCGATTTAATGCCTTTATCCATTGTCTCGGCCCGGCTCAACCACACTTCCTGGCGATCTGTTCCAACTGTTAATCATCCCCCTGGGTTAAAAAGCACATCTCGGAGTCTTATCTGAAAGCCATTTGTTATTTTTTTATTGAGCGACATCAGGAATGGCAAACGCGTGTATTTTGCATAGAAGGATGGATTAAAACAACAGGGATAACGTGAGCCTGAGATGATATCACAGGCAGGAGCACAGGACAATATTCTGTCAGTTCCGCTCGCTCGCAGTCTGGTCTTTGCAATCTCAGCAATTTCCCTTGCCAACAGATGCCCCAGATCAACCCCGTTGTCCAAAACGCAACCGAGATATTTTGATTGATGGCCTGCCTGAGCTACCAGAGCGGCCCGATGTGAGAGACGTTAATTAACCACGAAATCTGAGGCAGCAGGAAGATCTTATGTTAAAAAAAAATCGGAATTATCGGATCGGATTGTTGCCAGCCCCGATTTTGCGTGCTTCAAAAACTCTGCTCGTGACGGGCTTCCAGCCGTTCTGCTCCTCCCCTCCCAGAACTCCATCCCCCAAATCTTCCTCGCTTGATACCCACAACCACACCCCCTCCACCACCCCCCAATCTTTTCTACTATGCTTTTGGTCAATTCCTCTTCCTCCACACCCCAAGGCAGAGGGATTGAGGGAGGTAGTTCCAGAGTTTCGGGGCGTAGTGACTGAAGGCACGGCCACCGATGGTGGAGTGAAACTCAACCTTCCAGAGCACCCGCCCTAAAGTCTTCCCAACACCATATCAAGCTGCTTTTTCAATAAATCCCCCATGCTCTGGCCATCCTTCCTGGCAAACGATTACTGCAGTCGTTGATTACATGCTGGCGTGTTTTTTGTTCCTGAAAAGACATCCTGAAATTGCCCTTCACCACTTTAAACCCGTGTCCTCTTGTTCTCCTGTGTTGGTGCTTCCAAACGTATTGTTCTGGGTTTACTTTTTTGCCCATCTTATATTTAATACGATGACAACAAATTACATTGGTCTAGCGCCTTTCACGTCGGGAAGATGTCCCAAGGTACTCGAGTCGTAATCTGAACCATTCAAAATGCCACTTTCAGGCTAACTTTCCAAAGGCAATCATAAACCAAGCTTTACCTTAACTCCCATCACTGCAAGGAAACAACTTAACCACACTTGAATATTTAAGGCAAAAATGGCCTTGCTGACTCAAGAGGAGGGGAAATTTCAGTCCTCCATAAATTGCGGGAACTAATTCCAGCTCTGAAGATTATTGGCGTAGCAGGCGAGCTGTTTCCACTCTGGCAGAGTGGGCGCGAGATATTTCGGAGAGAAATTAAACCTTTCGATCTAAACTCTTGATAGATTTTGCACTGTGCAGAACACACGATGTAACTGGCTGTGATGTCGCAGAGAGCCTTGCTGGCTTTCATCATTTCTTACAAACTAGTGTGTCTCCAGCGTTAGTGTCAGACTGCTAGTCTCTGCATTAGCGCTGTGGATTTATGAAATCAGGAGTGTTAATGCAAATGCAGACTAAAGCCATGGTCCATTCATGGATCTTTAGGCTTTTAAAGAAATCTGCGAAGGCAGCAAGTCTCCACAACTTGTTTTCTTTTTAAGCTGATAAAGTCTCTCTTTTCAGTTTTACTGTGGACACAGCAAACGTGAGATTAAAGGTGCATTATCATCGGGGTTGTCTGTGCAGAACAGATAGGCTTCACTGTAAGCTTTAGCTGCCCGTGACAGTGAATCCTCGCTTGTCACGGTGCTTTGAGAGGATCCAAAGCAGACCGGCCGGTAAAACATGCCACCCACGCGTGGAAGTCTCCCCACGTCCGCAATGGAACGCGCACTCTCATTCTCGCCCGCAAGAGCCAAGACTTGTGGGGAGCCCAGAGTGTATAGCTGCTGGAGTTTAACCAGATGAAACCGTATAGCTGGCCATTGGCTTCGGGAAATGAGGTAACAAGAAATGGACAGAAATGGAACTCAGGAACAGGCCATTCAACCTCTAGAGTCTGTTCCGCTGTTCTATTAGATTGTGGCTGTCCCTCAATTCCATTTATCCACCTTTGCTCCATATCTCTTGGAGTCTCTATCTTTTTAATCCCCATCCCCCCCCCCCCGTCTTTTCACTCTATCCTGAAATGCTCTTAAATTCCAGGTGCCAGCCCACCTCCCTTTCAGATACTTCAATCAACTCCGCATCTCTCTCTCTCTCTCTCTCTCTCTCGCACTTCTGCAGCAGTTTATTCAATATCATCCAAACCCCTTTTGTGTGGAGAATTGTTCGGCGGATTTGCTTTCAAAGGCCTCTCGGCTCTTATTCTAGGATTGTGCATGATTCTTTTGAAGAAGCAACACAAAGAGGCTTGCGGCTTTCAGAAGACTTGTTGCATTGTTTGCAAGTTTAATACCATGACCCTGGGAAGTTTGTACCAAGATGAGTAGCGTAGGGCAGTGGACACAGAATCTTGCTTTCTGTACGCTTGCACTAATACCGGAATACCATATTATGGGTAATGTAGAACGACTTGCATTTATACAGCGTCCTTCACATAGTGGTGAACAGTAGTGTGGTCACCGAGAAGAGATAAAAAATAATAATAATTTGGTCACCAGGCTATTTGTGGGGACGCTGCTGTGCGCAATTGGCTTTCCGCGTTTCGCCCACAGAGTATACAGTCGCTACACTTTACAGTGTATTCTGTGAAGCACTTTGAGACGTCTCGAAAAGACTTGCTAAGGCGCTGTCTCAAAGGCAAGGATTATTATTATTATTCAGAGGGAGTGGGAGGTGACCTACCTCAAAGAGGTAGGTTTTCGAGCGGGATTTAGACAGGTAAAGAGGAGGCGAGTTGGAGGGATTGAGGCAGGGTGACGTGACTGAAGGAAAATGCAACGGTGCAGACACTTGATATTTTTAAGCAGAGAAAGTCTCCCTTTTCAATTTTAACACAGCAGAGACAGCGGATATGAGGTTAAAGGTGCATTAACATCAGGATCGTCTGTGCAGAACAGTTAGGCTTCACCGTAAGACTGAAGGCTTACAGTGTTGCATCTGTCCAGTTTTTGACCGTTTCCTTGTCAATGTTGGAGATTCTCAATCGCAGTTTTGTTCCTGCCAATATTGAGGACTGTGATGGAAGTCCCTCTTACCTTGTGGAGAGGTTTGCAAGCTGATTATACCGAGGGCATGGAATTGTCGTGTCAGCCTGGCTCCTTTGATAACGCTCTCGCCTCTGAGTCAGAAGGTGTGGGTTCCAGTCCCACGTAGGGACTTTGATCTCAAGCTGTCGATGTGAATGTTTGGAAAGAGTTGGCGGAACGGAAAGAAGTGATCCAAACTGAGCTAAACTCTCCTCTTTTGGGATTGCTCTCACGGAACCCAATTCGTTTTTGTGTGGATTGGAATTTGCTCCACGAGTCATCTCTGCAAATAGGCAACTGAGTCATGACTCTGAAATGCAGCCTGCAGGTCTATGGAGGGCATAACTGTCCTCAAAAGTAAACAGCACCAAACTGGGGAATGTGACTGTTTGCGAAACATTCTCATTCGAATGCATAGCTTTGTCAAGTACCTTCTCCTTGCCTGTCTGTATAACAGTATTTAACAGTACCGATCCTTCACCGTTGAAGGCGGAAATACTCTGAATTTAAACAATAGAAATGACAAAATCTTGGCAATATTCTGCCATTGCTTGTAATGCGTCTTTGTGACTATCCAAGTACTCGAATGAACTTAAACACGTGCATATTCAGCAATTATTCTGTCTGCTATCACATCTGACAAGTTGAACATTGGCTACTGGATCTGCATGTTACACGGTACAGAGTGTCTAATAAATAAATAATACAGCATACAAATTGCTTTGCATTACAGCTCTAGCCAGGATATCTTTATATAACACAGAGACAGACAGGAAAAGTAAATGGGTTGTGATATTAAAATGTAACGCGCAACCAATAATATTTTAAAAATAATGTATTTATTTTGTACTTTTTTTTGCCAGGTGCAGGTTAAAGGGCCATATGTAATAGACTTGTAGTTTATTGCTGATAATGAAAATTTTGTTCAGTTCACAGTGTGAAGAAATCGAGTATTAATAATCTATAATGGATTTTTGCTGGCAGCATTTTTTTCCCCCTCACCGCCCTCCCTCTCTCTCTCTCGCGCTCTCCCTTTCAATTAAATCGCATATTTCACAGGCTTCCCAGATCGCAAACACTGAGCTGAAACAATTGCGTTCGGACGTTAAAAATAAATGAGTGTCGGTGACTCTCAGTTTTATGTAATATCTTTGACATTCTGACAGGATTTGGCCCCAGGCGAGGCGGTGCTGGGCGGAATGCAAAGCGCAGCATGAATTAAAAATGCAGCTGCGGGGAAAAAAAAATTCCACTTTCTAAAACTTTTTTTGGAATATGTAACGCTGTGTATTTTCGTCTCGGAAAGGTTCCTGTCTCAGTCCCGATTTTCTCCATCTCTTTCCACACAGCGCGTCCGAACTGGATCCAGAACTTAACCGACTCTTACATGCCGATCGAAGAAAACCTACACTGGGTTTGCAAAGCGAATGGTGAGCCCAAACCGTCTTATAGGTGGCTGAAAAACGGGGAACCCTTTCTAATAGAGGTAGGATATTGGCAGATGTGTCTGTGTTACTTGCACTAAACTAATTCGGATTGTGCAGACAGAAGCTGACAAGTGTTAATCTGCTCTTCTGGTACATGGTAATGTTTCCTGATAGATACAAGCCGCCTTTGGATGATGCTTGTGTTTAAATTACATCCGTAGCGGGAGAGAAATGAATGGATGGGGTGACGCGGGGGCAGGCTGGTGGGGGAAGAGTCGAGTTATTAGCATACGTGTTCCTTTCTGATATTAAGTTGAACTCATCAAATGTAACATTACAATTACTGAAATGTCAGAATGAAGCATCGCAGCTTTTTAATCAGTGGAATTACCGTAGGTCATCAGTACAACCCCACAGAACATCAACCCCAGCATCCGAACACCATGACTGAGGAGACGGAGGAGAAACAACTTAGGAATATTTGCCATTCCTCACGTCCAAATTAAAAAAAATTTTAAAAAACGTTCCACTTCAAAGGTTAGATATTCTTTTAAGGCCGTAAAAAAGACTCGCGTCTGTTGAAGTATATAAAAGTCTTGGCTTTGTCATTCGCAGGAAAGAATTCGAATAGAAAACGGGGCACTTATGATCAGCGCTGTTGGAGTATCAGATGCTGGGATGTATCAATGTCTGGCAGAAAACAAACATGGAGTGATTTATACCAGTGCTGAGCTTCGAGTTTTAGGTAAGGAGTAATTTCACTGCCTGATAATTCATTGCATATTGTCATAATTTCACTCAGAAAATACACGGTCAATCCACTCTACAGTATATCCTGTGAAGCGCTTTGAGACGTCTCGACAACACGATAAAGCGCTTTATCGAGTGCAAGGATTATTATGATAAGAAGGTAGTCAACCATAGCTGCACATATAATTCGTTATAATACATTGCATTTAAATACAGCAACTTATCACGTCATGAAAACATCGCAATGCACTCTTCCCAAACAGCCATGAAACGAATGATCCATTTTACCTTAGTGATTGTTGTCCACAACCTGGGAGAAACTCTCTTAACTATCTGAATATTTAATGTCCACCTTTACCTGCCAATGTGTTTCCTTCCCACTCAAGGCACCGACACATATTAATCCTTCATTGTCTCTGTACAGTGCTTTGGAGGTTTCAATCTCTTGAGGAGCTACAATTACACCCATGTCCCCAATGGTGCTTTGAGCAAGTGCTTTATATGTTTGTTCTTTAAAACAAATAGGTGGGTGGGTGGGTGGGTGGGTGAGTGGGTGAGATGACCGCAGGCATTGGAGTCGAAGAGGTCGGTTTTCAAGATGGATAGGGAGGGGTTTGAGGCGGAGGGATTTAGGAAAGATCTTGCCGAGGACAGGGGGCTGATGTCTCCACTGCCGAGCACGGATGGAGCAGAGGGAACAACAACAACAATAACTTGCATTTATACAGTGTCCGTCGCGCAGGGTAACGTCCCAGAGCGCTTAAGGAACCATCAACAGGTCAGAGGTCGCTGACAGGAGAGGGGCGAGAAGGAGAGAGAAGCTGAAGAGGAATATACCGAAGCTTACAGCAAACGAATAAATTAATATTATAATTTGTTGATGTTAATAATATTGAGTGAGAGTTTACACTGATCCGAAAACAGTGGAAAAATTCTTCACAGCGTTCAATAGTGGGATATAAATGAGTACGACATCGCTGATGCACTCTGATTTCTGGTGAGAAATCTGACGCACATTCAGTTGAAAACGGAGCAGAAACGATTTGGAAGGCCAGTGTTATGCCTGGCTAATTGGGCTTCTAGCGGGAAGAGTGAAGTGCGCAGTGTGACTGTGATTGCAGAGGTGAAGATGGGATCAGTTCAGCGGGTGGATAAAAGACGTGGCATTTGCAGTTCGATTTGGCCAGCGTGGCGCTCCTAATTAGGAACCGTCATTCCGGAAGGGCAATAATGAGATTCTTGCGCAAAATTCATATCTCAGGCAAAGCAAATGCAGGTGTCAAGTCTTCCAGTGAGCAAAATAACACACTGCTTTTCAGGCAAATGTAATTGTTGTCCTAAATAAGCTGTGAATCAAAAACAAAGCAAAATTCTAAGGCCAGTCGTTGCTCTTTGGTGTGAGTTTCTCCTGGTGTCCTGGCCAACAAATCCCCCCAGTTAAAACCAATCGTTCACTTCATCCTTCTGACGCGAAAGGTGCCGTACAAATGTAATTTGTTGTTGTTGTTGTTGTTCATGGCTGTTTGTGGGCTGTGTTTGCCTACAAATGCACAGTTACTACACTTTGCAGTAAAATCCTGCGAAGCGCTTTGAGATGCCTTTGGTATAGCTCCTTATCACAATGTTGAGACCTTGTGACAAGGAGTTTTCGATGATTATTGAAGAATCTACTTCAAATGGAATCATTTTAGATTTCCTTCTAGTTTTCGTGTGCTGTTATTTTTACCGGTAAGTTTAGAGCTATCATCTTCAGGGAGTATAACTCATATTATCCACCCAGTTTTTTTTAATCAAGTTTATTAATAAATATGCAAATCACCAGCATCCCTTCCAAACTTTTTTTTAATTGGGTAAAATGACAATAACGACTTGCAAAGCTTTATTGGCTCTGTCTGTGTTGAGGTTTAATATTAGGGAAGGATTATTATGTAAAACTGATAAATGATGGCAACCAAGTGAAATTTTACCTGTTCCAATGGAATAAAAAAAACAGCTTATCGAGCAAGACTTATTTTAACTACTCTGTACAGTACTCTGTATAATCAATGTTGGTTCCCCACTGGCTTCACATCCTCCAGTGGATAGAGTTCAAAGTCCTCATCCTCACCTTCAAAACCGTCCACAGCCTTGCTTTTCCTACCTCTGTAAGCCGCTAGCACCATATCGACCTGTCCGCTCCCTCCACTCAGCGGGTTCTGACCTGCTCCAATCCCCCACCCTCCCTGCCCTCCATCCCTATTGATCCCAAACCCCTGCTCGGGTCCAAATCCCTGACTGTCCTGAGCCTTGGGACGTCCTCCCAACGTGAAAGGCGCTGTGTAAATAAATGTAAACGGTGTTGCATTTGACATGAGCTACTGTTTTTCTCGTATACTGTAATGGTGTCAACACCAAATACCAACACGTATTTTTCATAGAGGAATTCAAAAGCTCGATGTGGTACTTTATTTGCTTTGTATAGTAATAAAAAAATAATAAATTGGTCACTTCAATCCACGACTGTTTGTGGGACGCTGCTGTGCACAATTGACTGCCGCGTTTCGCCCACAAATATACAATCAATTCACTTTACAGTATATTCCGTGAAGCGCTTTGAGACGTCTACAAGATGTGAAAAGCGCTATATCAAATGCAAGGATTGTTATTATTATTATTGTATAGTTGCACAAGTTTGCCTACACAATACACAGCCATTAGACTTCACAGTATATCCTGTGAAACGCTTTGAGACATCCTCCCGACGTGAAATCTCTATGCCAAATGCAAGGCATATTATGATAATACTTCATGTGAGACGTACTGGTGTTTTTGTCCGTCCGATCTGTACGCGTGTGTGAGGCGTCTCTTGGTTTGGTACGCCATTGCTTCAGCTGCGAAATTTGGCAGGAGATTGTCCCTAATCTCCTATGGCAATGTTACCTCATCTCCTGCTGCTGGGGGCAGTTGGTGTCCTTCATTATCCGTGCCCTGTTCTTGGAACAGGTGCAATCCACATTGCCTTTGGCACCAAGTCACTTCTAAACGGTGCCCCCGTTCAGGATAGAAGCAGACTGCAATCCGCTCTGTTAATGTTGGCCAACTCCGGTTGTAAATCCAGTCCTCCCAAGCAATCAAAGCACTTTAATAAGCAGTCAAGGACACTGACGATTTGTTCTGTGATCCAATGTGTGACTGGCCCTAGCTGTGGTGGTTATGCAATGCGTCATAAGCCCATCTCTTGTTAGCTGCGACAGAATGGGGGTTACCCCAGGCCCGAGAGGCAACAAGATTGATTCTCAGTGTTAGAGGAATAAGAACATAGAAACAGGAGGAGGCCATTCAGCCCCTCGAGCCTATTCCGCCATTCTATAAGATCATGTTTGATCTGTACCTCAACCCCAGTTACCCGCCCTTTGCCCCATATCCCTTAATACCCTGACCTAACAAATATCTCTCCACCTCAGTCTTTAAAATGTGAATGAATCCAGGATCCACAGCCTTTTGGGAGAGAGAGTTCCAGATTTCCACTACCCTTTGGGTGAAGAACTACCTCCTAATTTCACTCCTCAAAGGCCTAGCTCTTTTATTTATTTTATGATTATGTCCCCTTGTTCTGGTTCTCCTTCTAGAGGAAATAGATTCTCTTAATGAAGTATAAGCAACGACTAGACAAGCTGAGGCTCTTCACTCTTAAAAGGGAGGGAGGTGGATAACATTTTAAATGGGTTTCAAAAAGTAACCCCAGAAGAATACGTTGGATTGTATCAAGACAGTAGAACAAGAGGACATAGGTTTAGAGTTGCAAAAGGGGCAATTTCAGGATAATCACCAGGACGTCGTTCTTTGCCCAGAGGGTAATGAAAGGCGGGAATAGGTTACCAGGAAGGGTGGTTGATTCCACAATATGCTTGGTGCTGTGATGGGAAGATGCAATGGTGGGTGTTGGGGACGGTGAGATCCAATGGGCTACAGGGCCTTCTTCATCCAAACACGATCTTGTGATGTGTTGATCCCGGGCCTTGAGCATTTACGTGTGACATCCTTCACTGGCTAATGTGCACCACTTGCATTGACTTAAATCGACTGGAAGCCCGTGCAGACAAAGCCACTTTATATCCGTTTACCAGTGGCCTGAGGGAAGCCATAGTATTAGTTCTGTCTGGCTATGACTCCGCACCAGATAAGTCTGCAGCTTTGTCGCACGTCTCTTGAACGAAAGCGGTCATGTTTTGTGTCTAATGTCAGCATAAATTGGAGTGATTTAGTATCAAACAATAACTCAGGGGAGACTTTCCTTCACAGCCATCGGGCAGAGCTGTTGCAGCCACTGCAAATGCCCTCAAGTCTGACGAACTGGTAATTGCCTCCCTTGAGAGCCCCGACCTTGTTAGAAGCTGCTTCTCCATTAGTCTAAGTGATGATCCTCTGCCTCCATCCCTGCCCTTCTCCTAAAAGTCTTAACGCTCGCTCGCTCACTAGCTCTCACCTACTTGTCCTCAGAAAGAATAATTGCAGGCAGGCGTGATTGAACCAAATGCCACGTTCCTGTCCTTTACTAGGTCGGACAAGGCTTTCGGACAGTTAGTGACACGCCTGAGCACGACTTACATCTGCTCTGCGAGGAACACAGCAGTATTCGGCAAACTCCAGCGTTGCCACATTTAATTGGATTCGCTCGCCGATTAATTGCTTTAATCGCTGCTTCCCCAGCATCATCAGAAAGCCGTTGCTAATATTTTATCCAGATGTTGGGGAATGAGCTGAGACCCCGAATGAATTATCGGCAGTCCAACCCTTGTTGTTAACTTCCTCTCCAACAGCCCACACATACACAGACGCACACTGATAATTGTCATCGCAACAATGGATAATAATAACAATAATAATCCTTGCATTTGATATGGCGCTTTTCACATCTTCGAGACGTCTCAAAGCAATTCACAGAATAGACTGTAAAGTGAATTGACTGTATATTTATGGGCGAAACGCGGCAGCCAATTGCGCACAGCAGCGTCCCACAAACAGTCGTGGATTGAAGTGACCAATTTTCTTTTCTTGAGGGATTATTATCAGGCGTGTGGAGTAAGGAAACTTGTCCAAGGTTTCACCCTGCTGGGAATCAAACCCAGGTCTCTTGCTTGAGAGGCGAGTTGCTCTAACCACTGAGCTACAGGACTCCACAAATATTCTAAGGAATTCTAAAATAGGCACAAAAAAGAGATTGTTTCTCTATCCCAAAAGTCGATGGACGCACCTCTGATAATTCAGCACTCACTTGACATTTCACTGGACTGTCAGTCCAGACTATTAATCTCAAGACCTAATATTGGGCTTTGAGCTCACAACCTACTAACCCAGAAGTGAGGAAGGACCAATTCCAACTGAGCCACACTGACATCCTAAAATACTGGAAAATCAGCACAATGTAAACTTTCCATTAACCAAAGCAGTTGTTTTCTTTAAAGTAGGCAAGACACATTAAATGACTAAGAACCTGAACAACAAGTCAATAGCAAAAATCATTGTCACATTTTAGGGATATCGATCAGATCCACTGGCATATCAAAGACTACCAGATTTCATTTGGTTGTCTGTCTGGTGAATAACAATATTATTGTAGCTTATATACGTATTAAATTTAATTAGCTTAAATACTCTTCAAGTTCTGAAGCAGAGATTCGACACACTTTAAATCGAGAAATGTAAGCCTGGATTAAAGAACTGGGCAATCCGAAACCCTCATCCAATTCAAGCTCTTGCCATTAGATAATGAACCGATGTGGAGTGTTGGATCAGTTTCACCTTAACAGTTCTGTTCAGGTGGATGCTCACCTCGGAAATCGTTGATGTTGTGTTGATGTTGGATGTCACAAGGTAACAGGCGGCCTGTTTAGATAACAAGACGCGGAGTCTTGTTTTCTTAAGGTGTCATCGTGATGGAGACAGAGAATATATATAAATATATATATAATAATAATAATAATAATAATCCTTTCATTTGATATAGCGCCTTATCACGTCTTCGATACGTCTCAAAGAGCTTCACAGAATATACTGTAAAGTGATTTAACTGTATATTTTGTGGGTGAAACACAACAGCCAATTACGCACAGCAGCGTCCCACAAACAGTATTGGATTGAGTGACCCATTTATTATTTTTTGTTAAGGGATTATTAACCCCTGGAAAAGCGATCCACCAATCGACTAACAACCAGAGTCCTAATTACTGCTCGGTAAACAGAGGCATGTGGAGTAAGGATATATGCCTAAGGTTTTGCGCTGTCTGGGAATCAAACCCAGGTCTTCTCGCTTGTGAGGCGAGTGCTCTAATCTCTGAGCTACAGGACTCCACAAATGGCCGGGTTGTTTGGGCGAAACGTTCTCAGCTGGAACTAGAATGAAACCTGACAGCGTTGAAGTGAACGCTGCCCTAGATCATTAATCAGTGCAGTGTCACCCTCAGTCACGGCCTCTGACTTCCCCGCTCAAGGAAGTAGCTTTCTGAAACGTGTCAGACCTTCAAAAGATCATTGCATTGCACGCCCTGCACTGGGGGCGATGAACTGAGGGAGTTTCCTTTGGCTGTGCAAGTCTTCAAACTCCTGAATAATTCAGGCCCCGAGCTCCGTTTCATGGTGGAGTGAGTGGTGATTGTGTTAAACCCAATGCCTTGAAGAGGCAATACGTTGATTTGGTTGTTTGAAAAACATCAGCAAAGGTGAATTTAGACCGGGGGGGTGGGGGGGTGGTGGGGGTCCAACCTTCTGGCTGCTGAGGGCCGGATGCCCTTTTTGCAAAGCGTTCGAGGGCTGCATAAGCAATATTTTTGTGTTTCCCTTCCAGAAACATTGCATAACATTTACGGGTTAAGAAGGTAGCAAATGGGCCAGATGAAATGGTGGGAGGGGAGGAGATGGGGTGGGCCTTATGCAGCCCACGGGCCATCAGTTGAGCCACCCTGAATGAGACTATAAGGAAAAATCTGAGGGTTCGGTTGAGGCAGGATGTGCTAATTGTTTTCTCATCTGGTTTTTTTTTCAGCATCCGCTCCGGATTTTTCCACGAGCCCCTTGAAGAAATTAACACCCATTAGCGTGGGCGGTGAGGTTATCATCGAATGCAAACCGAAAGCTTCCCCAAGAGCAACCATTTCTTGGATGAAGCAAAATGAGATTCTACAAGAAAATGAAAGGTAATTTCTTGAATGAAATTCATCCTTTGATCCTAATAGCTGCTTGAATCAGGAAATTCCTCAAGGCAATACAGGAGGATGGCTAGTTGGCTGATAGCAGGACCCATTATTAACGTAATTTTACCCTTTCAGGGTATCTACAGCAAACAAGACGCACAGCCGGAAAGACACGATAACAGGAAAAACACAGCCCCCTGACAGATATTTTTTTAACAGGAATTAGCACAGCGATGTGACCTTTTCCAATATCTGCCAGTTTCATACGAACTCGTTTCAGTTCAGTGCCAATTTATGCCGTTTAGTTATTAATGTCCACATTAACAAATAAAACGCACAGCTTTGCAGCAGAGGACCATTTGGCACGCCCACCTCGACATTTCGCACCCCAAGATGCAGAACAGCACAGGAGGATCCTTTGCGCTTTCACAGCATTGCATTTGTAAAATTGTGAATGGCAGATTCAGGGGAACGGATAAAAAGTGTCATTATTTTTCCAGGATTTTACACACGGTTAGTGCAGCTGCTTCCCTTTGCTAAGACTAGTTTTTCTGGTCTATTTCCCCATTGGCTCCATTACTCTCTGGCAAGCAGTCTCCAGTGAGATCCGAGATAGAGAAACAAGACAAGAAGATAATAAAGCAGGGAGCCGATGATTGATTCGCCTTGTCATAAAACCACATACTGTGCATGTGAAATTGCTTTTTGGCTGAACGTAGATGATTAAGTAGACTTTACCTTGTAATTAAAGAGCGAGCGAGGATTTAGGAAAGACAAATGCAGAAAAGGTATCTCTGCTCCTTGAGATTAATTAATTTACACGGGTAGAAGTTAAATAAGAAGGGCCAGGGATGCTAACTTGTCCTATTTATTGCGTGTTTTGGTTGGACTATGGCGCGTACCACTTTTTTTGATTTATTTACGTCACTTGCCGTGCAGAAATTAACGGTGTAAATGCTTACGGGACATTAAGATCACTTGTTCCCCTCCACCCCCCACCCCATGCAGTGAAATAAGCAGACTTTCGCCCACTTAAGAACCAGATTAGGAAATCCATAGAACGCGCCTAAAACATAAATAGGTGAGGTTACAAACCAGTGTTATTTGTCGTAGTTCAGCTGTGGCGGGTGGCTCGGTAACTCAGCCAGTTAAGAGAACTTCACCTGACCAGAAAATGCAAGCTCTAGTCCCAAGACTCCTTGTCAATCAAGCCTTGCTTGCCTTAGGTGAGTTGCATTTGTTTCTGACTGGAGCTCCAGATGGAGCATCAAATTGAGCAAAGCTAACCTTCTCAGGAGAGAGTGAAAATTGATATTATTTTAACTCGCCCCAGTCAAATATTCTTGGCAGGCAATATTGGAGTTGCACTGACTGTTATCCTGTAAGTTCCCCATCAAATAAAACTATCCCTGTCCACGTGAGACAAAGCTGGTGGGAACACAGTGGTACTTTTTCACAGACCAGTTTATGCATTTCCCAATTTAGGCATATCTTTAATTGTAAAGATGAATGGTTAACAGTTACCAAAGAGACAAATGCAGCAAATCATTAGGTTAGACTGCGCTGGCATTATTTAACAGATGATGAACTTATCCCAATTCCCTAACACAAGCGCATGATCAAAGACATACCTGCGGCACTATTTTAATTATGAATGTCTTATTGATGTTTAATTGTAAATCTTTTATTGATGAAATGAAAGAGGTGATTTTTTTATCAAATAACGGATTCCATTGGCGAAAAGCAAACAGAAATATGGAAAAGATGAGTTTCTCAGTATTGATCTCAAACCCAAATGTGTTTTTTGCGAGATCTAAATTGCAGCTCCAGAAATTGAAGTTTTTAATTAAACAGCAACATTATAATGACATGATGTTATGTAGCACATATGAATTGCTTGGTTATTTATCTTTTTCCGAAAGGGCTGATCTAGCCCATGATCCAGATAAATAAGTAAATAAACAAATAATCCTTGCATTTGATATAGCGCATTTCACGTTGGGAGGATTTCGTAGGATTTGCTGCCAAGTGTACTGACTGAGGGCGAAATGTGACATCAAAGTGATGTTCAATCAAACCAAAAGCCATTGCCAGAATAAAAATCGACACAAATTCAGGTGGTGCCATGAAAGAAAGGATCAGTGACTCGATTTTGAGCACATCAACGCGAATTCCAAAATCTGAGACAGAAAGTCCTTGTCCTTCCACATTAACAATTGAAACAAGGGAAAGAATCCACTAGCAAAACAAATCCTTTTGACAGCAGACACTGTACCAAAGTCTTGTTAACTTGCACGTTTTGATCCTTTTGCAATGTCTTATGCGTACACCGTTTTAAGAAAAAAAAGTAATGTTTCACAATAATAAAAATCCAGTCGTCGAGGCATATTTAAGGAAAAGTGCTCCCCTCTTGAAGATGTTTCGTTTGATTTGACTTTAGAACAGTCTTCAATTCGCGCTATTTCTTAACAAGAAAATATCGTCCTGACTCTATATGTAATTTTTTTTTTTACTGAGCGTTTCAGAGCAACCAGAATTTGGCAAAACAGCCTTGGATCTTTGCAACCATATCTCCTCTTGATTTTCTTTTAAGAACCAGAGAAAACGGGCTACCCAGTTAAGACTGAATTCAACAATTCGCCAAATCCCACAGATCCAAATCAGAAATAGGATAAACCTAGACTGCGGTGGATGTCACCCGCATCGTGTTATAATGAAGTTACTCCTTGCACCTGCCGTAAAACTTTGCACATAATTTCCTCCCTGGAGCAGTCGCTGGCATTAACTGTAGGTTATTCTTCCAGTCTAAAGCAAAGCTAATTTGGCAAGGATTACTATCAAGTTGTGTTGTCAGCAGTCGCTGAGTTGAAGGATATCTAGATTCTCAAACTATCATATTGTGCCACGCGCTTTAAGATGGAAAGATAGAAAGACAAGTGGAATTACAATGCGGCAGGCACACACTTTCTGTGGGTGACAATGCGGTGGAGCTTAATATTCAGTAAATTAATATCGTCGCTGGTGTCTTCTAAGCATTAAGCCCCAATCCTTTGGAACATTTCTATTATCACACATGCCTATTGGATTGATTTAGTTTTATCTCTGTAATCCCTGCTGATGTAATTTGCCAAGTGGAGGAAATGACAGTGCAGTAAAGTAATCCGTCTCCATACCTGAGACTTTTTCGACTCGTGAGCCGAGCAAAGCAATGACTTGTACCTTGGCACAATATGTTGCTTGGGCTCTGAAAACCCATCTTTAAATCCAGTCGTTGTGAAGCACTCACAAGATTCACAAGATACCCTACGTGAAGCGAGTGATAAAAATGCACTTTGTTGGGGGTGTTTAACATACCATCTGTTGTGAACAACTGAAAACGTCAGTCAGTGTTCCCTTTTTAATGAACATTTGCAAAAAAAAACTTTTCTTGGGAGCCTTGTGCGGGATTTGGGGATGTGCGCCGTTTCTGACACATCAAAATCAAAGGCTTCAACAAAACTGGGCAGTTTTGAAATGTTTTTTTTTGGACAGCCAAGTGTCTGACACTTGCGGAAACCCATCACCGTGGCTTAAAAGTGTCCAAACCAAACCGGGAATTCCGTGCATCCCACCTACACATGGAATTTCCAGAGATTGTAATCATGGCATTTGATATAGCGCCTTATCACGCCATTGAGACGTCTCAAAGCGCTTCACAGAATATATTGTAAAGCCAATGGACTGTATTTTATGGGAATATACGTGATAGCCAGTTGCGCACAGCAATTTTGAAATGGTGGGATGCTCAGATCAGGTCGATCGACCCACTGTGCGAGGATTGATGCTGCTGGCTACCCACAATGGAGCCAATCTCGTCAAGAGGATGTCTCAAAGTGCTTCGCAGGACTTACTGTAAGGTGTAGCGTACTGTACAGTGTATTTGTATACAAACAACAGTGACCAGTTTGCACACAACAATGTGTGCTCCATACACGTTTTCAAGACTGAGGTGGATACATATTTGTTAGGTCAGGGTATCAAGAGCTAACGTAGTAAGAGCGGGTAATTGGAGTTGAGGTACAGATCAGCCGTGATCTTACAGAATGATGGAACAGGCTCGAGGGGCAGAATGGCCTCCTCCTGATGTCCCGCGACAGCCAGGAAGCGAACAACCAATTTTATCCGGGGGGATGTCGGCCAGGACAAAGGGAGAGAAACTGCCTTCTGTTTTCAAATGGTACCGTGGGATCTTTCACATCCCACCTGACAAAATGGCCAGGACCTCGGGTGAGTGAAAGTTAGACGTCAGAACCTGCTTTTTATCGATCCTGCAGATAAAAGGGAGCAACAGGGGGGACTAGGCTGCTCTTCGGCACGGACTTGACTTAGCGAGCTTGTGTTACCATACCATTAGATGTCAGCATCAAAGCAAAAGGTCCCTCAAGATTTGACAGTATTAACAGCAATCAAATTATCTTAGCTTTCACAAAGGTCACTGGATACAAACCAGTTTAGGATTGTGCGGTCATCGCGTTCACCTTGTCTGAATAGAGATTTTTTTTTATTCTGAAATAAAAATCCAATTTGTATGTTTTTCTCTCAACATCGCCTCGCTCACCGAGCCGTTGAACTGTCTGTCAGCCGCCCGCACTGACGAACTGCTAAAGAATATGCCTCCACATATCTGTTGACCTCTGTTGGTTTCTCACAACTACAACAAGATGAAACATCAAGTCTGATTCACATTATCTTGCAGGAATTTTATCATCTGTAACTTTGTGGCACGAACTAAATGTCTAGCCAGACGCGGGATGGGGAGTGTGCGTGTGCGTGTGCGTGTGCGTGTGTGTGTGTGTGTGTGCAGTAACAGCCACAGTAACGGTCACATTTTTCCAGCGAAATGAACATTGTTCAGTTCAACTGAAAACAATGTTAACTTTCCTTGCATTTGATGTTTGGGCCTTCACACACACGTCAGGAGGACATCCCAAAAGTGTTTCGCAGGATTTTAACTGTGAAGAGAA